ATACCATATAGCAAGCCAAATCTGAAGGGGTTTCCTAGATGGCTCAGTGATAAAGAATCTGCCTGCCAAAGCAGGAGACTCAAGAGATGCAGGTTTAAACCCTGGGTTGGGAAGATACCCTGGAAAAGGAAATGGTAACCCACTCCAGCATTCTTGCCTGGGAAATCCCATGGACAGAGGAGCCTGGCAACCTACAGTTCATGGGGTCGCAAAGAGTTGGACATGACTCAGTAACTGAGCACCCACATACAAGCCAAGTAAGAAGCAGTGGTGAAGAGTCAGACTGAGTTCAAATCCAGTGTCACTACCTAATTAGTCAGTTAATCTTTTCATGCCTGTCTGCAAAACAGGGTTAAAACAAGATCCAGCTTTGCTTCATCCAGCCTGGCATTTCACATGATGTACTCTGCATAGAGGTTATAAGCAGGGTGACAATATACAGCCCTGGTGTACTCCTTTCCCAGTTTGAAACCAGTCCATCGTTCCATGTCCTATTCTAGCTGTTGCTTCTTGACCTACATTCAGTTTTCTCAGGAGGCAGGTAAAGTGGTCTGGTATTCTCATCTCTTTAAGAATTTCCCACAGTTTGTTGTGATCCATGCAGTCAAAGGCTTTTAAAAACAATACCTGCTTAATATTGTTTTTAAGAGGATTCTCTGAATACATATTTGTAGAGCTCTTCCAACTGCCCAGCAGATTGTAAGTGCTATAGAAGTGTTTGATTAAATAAACTAAAAATAACAGTCAACCTGAATCTCAGGACTCAAATAGAAATGAGCAGAGTATTTTGTGGCTGGGTGTGGAGGGGCCCATTTCATTAACACAATAGTTAATGGTGACCATATTTTCTAAATAAAAAATCAGGTCACTTTGTCTGAAAACATTTGAGTTCCACGTTGGGCTTCTAGCCCTATGAGAACTACCAAAACTGGGTGTAATGATGATACTTTGTAAGACTACAAGAGTCTGTGCAATTGGAAATTACCACTCTACATATTGGTACTGCTGCTGCTGCTAAGTCACTTCAGTCGTGTCCGACTCTGTGCGACCCCATAGACGGCAGCCCACCAGGCTCCCCTGTCCCTGGGATTCTCCAGCCAAGAACACTGGAGTGGGTTGCCATTTCCTTCTCCAGTGCATGAAAGTGAAAAGTGAAAGTGAAGTCGCTTAGTTGTGTCCGACTCTTAGCAACCCCATGGACTGCAGCCTACCAGTTTCCTCCGTCCATAGGATTTTTCAGGCAGGAGCACTGGAGTGGGGTGCCATTGCCTTCTCCGACATATTGGTACTAGGTACCTTCATATCTTACAAAGAAAAGATCATTCAGTATTCTTGAAAACAAATAAATCTCCAATAGGTTAAAAACATTTCTGTCTAGTATCGAGTATCTGTTTAAGCAATCACTGATACATTTTTCCCCTCCCTCTCTCTCTCTACTTTGCAACAGTGAAAAGGAGTCTATACCCAGTTCTCACACAGTCTCACAGTGAATCATTGAAAGAACAAGAAAGAAAACCCTGTTGAAAGCCAACTTCGTTTCAGCCATTGTGTAGACTCTCAGTCTTATTTATTTTATTATTATAATTTTTTCTCTCAGTCTTATTCAGACCTCAGAGCAATCTTTTCTGGGAGCCATTATGATTTTCATTTTAGGCTGAGGAAACTTAGCGTGGCAGGAACTTTTAAGTATTTATCCTGGGTCCATCTGGCTTGAAAGTTGGGGCCCTTTTCATTCTGCCCTCTGGCATAGTAAGGTAAGCATCCCAGCGGTCCCTTTTCTAACCACCCACTGTTATCAGCAAAGTAACCAACTCATTGCTGATTCCTTTCCTTAGCTGACGTTTGCTCATTCATTCATTCGTTCACAGTGTGTGACCTTGAGGAAGAAAACTCATTCTCCTTTCTCCTGTTCTTTTTCATTGGAAATGATTGTATTCGTGACTTACTTTAGGATCAGTCTTGGAGGTGAAACAGAAAAGACTTTACTATATAGGAAGGAAAGGGTAGACTAGCCTCTGCAAATGTGATGCTTCCCAAATCTGTACCTTCCCCTGTGAGCCCCAGACCTGTGGACCCAGGACAGCTCCATGTGGATGTCTTATCAGTTGCTTATGCTTAGCATCCATCAGTCGGTTGATGGCTGGGTAAGGACGGGAGAGGAGCGATGATGAAGCAGGTAGAGGAAGCAGTGCCTCCAAGAAGGCAGGCCCTGAGTCAGGAAGGTGCTTGGCATGTGGGAGGAAATAAAAGCAGTTCCGAATGGCTGGAAGGAAGAGAGCAAGAGGGGAACGGGTGGGGAGTGAGGCTGGAGAGACAGACAGGGATCAGATCACAGTGCCTGACCCTTGTGAGTGAGTGAGGGGCCAGGTCAGGTCAGGTCTGTTCTGGTCCGTTTCCTCATCTGTGAAACAGAACTAGCAACATGACTGGACAGGAGTGTAGAGAGGATTAAAAAGGGACACAAAGAGTACGTGAACATGTAATGGCAGAGGGTAAGCACTCACTAACATTTTCTTTCATTTTTCTTGGTTCCCTGTCATTGCACCTGTGAAATGGGGGTGATTTAATCATTGGGATTTCTTTCAGCTCAAAATGACTGTGACTTTTTTCTCAACTGGTCCCCCCATTTTCCACCATTAGCTCCATTTCTGACTTTTCTTTTTCCTGTGCTCAAGCCCAGGAAACACCCTCCTGCCTCTCGCCCCCCGCGCCCCCCCCCCCCGAAAAGGCAGAGGCAGCATTATGCGGCCAGGAAGATGCGATTGAACCCAGACCTCTTCTCTTCCTCCACCACCCTGCTTACTCTCATCCATTTATTCATTTACGAGACATTTCCAGCCTCCACTGTTGTGTGTGGATACTCTCTCACACCTCGAATCTTTCTCCTGCTCATGCCTTTTCACAGGCTCTGGTTGGGTGGGAGAAATAGTGCTTGACCAAGAAAGCCAAGGAAGGATGCTGGGGTATGGCTGGGTCCTAAAAATCCTTGCACATAAACAATGGGGTGTATTTGCTTCTTATTTGAAATTGTTGGGCACAGTTGCCCACAATTGCTCTATTTAATATTTTTTAGTTTTTCTTGTACTCTTTCAGTTATTCTGATTGCTCCTCCAGATATTTCAATCAGTCAAGTTTTAATTTGTCTTGAATGTCTTTCCCTTAACAGCTGCTTTTCTCTCTTAAGAAAGTCAAGTCTGGAGCAGGATGTTTTTAAGCCCATTTTGGGGTATCAAGAATATCCCAATCTAGTAGTGATAGTCAATGTTTGCCAACTGGATTGATGTGGAGGAGGGGGAAGGCTCTGATTTGAAGCATGAGTCAGTTTCTTTGCTGTAAATACTCCCACTATGGTGGATTTCAAGCTATCAATCAGACTTTACCGAATGCAGTCCAGCGGGGATGCTAACAGTTGGCTCCGATGTGCCATTGCACTCAATCCTTGAGACCTTAAACTTCATCACATCCCCCAAGCTTCTTCTTAGTCATTCTGATTTCATTTAGTGGTCAGCCAAGAAAGAGGCCTGACAGTCACAATTAACTCCTCTCATCCAATCACTAAATCCTGTTCATTTCTCTCTCAAATGTCAAGTCTGTTCGCTTGTTCATTCCCACTGCCAGCAGCCTAGTCTGGTCTCCCGATCCACCGTTCTTTCATTGCTACCACACTGACCTATTTTCTGGCTTCTCTGTCTCCACACTTGCTCAGCAACCAGTGTCCACCCTGCAGACAAAGTCAGCCTCCTGAAATTTAAATTATATCATGCCAGTCTTCTGTTTAAAACCTTTCCATGACTTTCCCTTGCAGTTACAATAAATTCCAAATCCTTAGTTTATCTTGCCTGACTCTGCCCAGTCCCTCACTCCCAGATTCTGTGATCTGGCCCCTGGCTGCCTCTCCAGCCTCATTCCTCACCCATTCCCCACCACCTTCTCTCTTCCAGCCATTTGGAACTGCTTTTATTTCCTCCAACATGCACTTTCCTGACTCATGCCCTGACTCCCGTCTGCTGGATCATCTCTGCTGCCCCTCCTCTTATCTCCCTGACTCCTCTTATCTGCCAGTGCTTTTTGATCCTGTGTCAGGTCAGCATGATCTCCTAGGAGAGGCCCCTGACTGGGTGGTTCTCCTTGCCCACTCAGTGTCTCCTTCTCCCTTGAGAGCCTGGAGTGATAACTGTCTTGTTTGCCACCCTTTTCCCAGCATGGCCCACAGGGCCTGGTATGTAGTTGATGTGAAAGTTAAAGTTGCTCAGTCGTGTCTGACTCTTTGCGACCCTGTGGATTACACATTCCATGGAATTCTCCAGGCCAGAATACTGGAGTGGGTAGCCTTTCCCTTCTCCGAGGATCTTTCCAACCCAGGAATTGAACCCAGGTCTTCTGCATTGCAGGTGGATTATTTACCAGCTGAGCCACCTATGGTGCTCCATAAGTGTTGAATCCATTTCTTGGATTTAGATAGACCCCAGTTCCCTATTTTTTTTTCAAATTTATTTAATTTATTTATTTTACTTTTGCTTATGCTGGGTTTTCATGGCTGGGCGCCAGCTTTCTCTAGTGTGGTGTGCAAGAGCTGCTCTTCGTTGCAATGTGCAGGCTCATTGTGGTGACTTGTCTTGCTGTGGAGCACAGGCTCTAGGCAAATGGGCTTAATAGTTTGCCTCTCATGGGCTTAGCTGCCCTGCACCATGTAGGAATCTTCTCGGACCAGAGATCGAACCTGATCGAACCCTTGCATTGCCAGGTAGATTCTCACCCACTGGACCAAAGAGACCCCCACCCCGTTTCCTATTAAAGAATAAACTCTACAGGGTTAAGCATGTTCTACTTCCTGTAGTTTTTATCAGCAGTTTATCTGCTTAGTATAAAAAGTAGTTAATAATTTTTACCACTAAACTTAATCATTTTCCCCTCAAAAAGGCATCTTGGAAGATAGTTTCCTATTTTTGATCAAGTCATATTATTTTTCCTAATCAATTTCTTTTTTTTTTCTCTCTTAGATTTCATCAGCTGTCAGTTCCGAGGTATTTATGGAGCTATGGATGGGAATGTAACCTTTTATGCTTCAAAGTTTCAACCATTTACAGAAATTATATGGAAAAAGGGGAAGGATAAAGTTATAGAATGGGTTGAACATTCTGAACCCGAAGCTTTTCAGTCTTTTAAAAATAGATCTTATTTAGACATTGTGTCAGGTAACCTGACCATCACCAAGTTAACAAAATCAGATGAAGGTAAATATGAAATTGAATCCCCAAGTGTTAAAGATATCTCCGTGTTCTACCTCAGAGTGATTGGTGAGTATCCATAAATTTGTTTGTTCAAATAGCAAATTTCCAAGTATTTTAAGAGACTAATATTAACTTGTGGTTTTTGGGAAATAAAACAATGAGTTATATCACCTGTTGTCAGGGTTTTTCTCTCTTTCTGGTACCCAGGAGCCACTTTTAGCTCCCTGTCATCCTCTCAGTGAAGAGAGGATGTGACTGAGGTCGAGAGAACAGCCCAAGTTGGCCACAGCTGCTGGCCACAGCATCACTTGTCTTGCTGGGAATGTTCTGAAAAAGGGTGTAGTGGCGATATGAACTCAGAACACTTTGAACACCTGTGAATTGGAGTTCCTGCTTCCTCCTGCACCCCACACAGGTGGTGGGATTTTATTTTCCCTCCTCTTATCACTTTAAGCGGGAACTGGGGATAGGATTCAGGCTCCTCTGTGCTTCTCACTAATGCTTCCTGGTTACGCTCTTTCCCTCACCTCTGAAGCACTTGCCTTGTTACAGGCTCCAGAGGCTGATGGCTCCACCTACATGTTTGTTTTTTTCCTCCAGTTTTATTGAGAAATAGTTGACATTCATCACTGTACAAGTTTAAGGCATATAGCATGGTGGTTTGATTTACATGTATTGTGAAATGATTATCACAGTAGGTTCAGCTAACATTCATCTTCCCTTGCTGTTCTCAAATGTCCTAGTAATGCTTTTGTCTCATAGCTGCCTTTTCTGTGCTGCAGCATAGCACAGCTCAACCCATTCCCATCTCTCCCCTCTGATGCATCACAATTTCACTCATTTTATCCGAGGTGTGAGTATAGTTCTAGGCCTACTTCCTCTAGGTTAAAGGCTGTCTTAGGAAGGTCCAGCTGGTGACAAAGTGTGCACGATGGTTTCCAGGGGGGTGAAGAAGAGAGAGTGCAATAGAGCAGTTTAAGTCTGAGTTTCCACCTCCTGTTTGTGGTGGCCTCAGTGGAACAGGATGTGATGACTAACTGGATGAACAGCCGTCACTCACCAGTTCAACTACTGAGTGTTGGAGACATTGGGAGGAAGAGAGAATTTCTCTCTTGGTCACCACTGTAACTTCAGAGCCTAGCAAAGGACTTGAATAGGTAATAGGCACTCATCAGGTATGGAAGCAATTGATATGGATGGTGGGATGTACAAGTGATAGAAATGGGTGCCCTCAGACAGGGTGACTGGTTTGTCCAGGAGATTATGAACTTCTTTTAGATAAGTGAAGCTTGTTAAGGCACGCAGTCATCCCATTAGAAGAACCAGTTGATGCCATTGAAGAAACAGAATCTTTAAAACCTGCAAATTGGGGATCTGGCAGTTTAGAGGGCAAACAAAAAGATTGGCTCAGAATTTCTTAAGAGCCCCTTTATCGAGTTTATAAAACTGAGCTCAAAACAATTTGTTTCTCTTTTTAAAGCTTCATGAAATGTTTAAAAATATAATTTAATAATTAAAATTTAAAAATTGCCTGCTAACTCAACAATGGTGCTCGATTCTGATAATTAAGCCAAGTGGACAGTTCTTAGGAAGCTCAGCAAAGGCCTGGGAAGGTGCAAGGTGCAGGGCATATGAGTTTCAATCAGGAAGCCATGAGAAATATTGGCCATATTAAATGTGTTGACTTCAAGTTCTGGTTTGGGAATCTGGATTTTAGCCTATGGCAGTCAAGAGCCATTGTATCTCATACTGGAGCAGAGAAGTGCCTTAATGAAATGTATTTTTGGAAGGTTAATCAGATGGTAGCAACTTATGATGGATTAGGAAGAGGAGACCCTAGGTTGGAAGCTATCATGATCATCCTGGTAGACAGAGGTGTTGGTAGCAGATGTTTGGAAAGGAAAGAACCAGAAGGTATTTCCAAGTTAGAGTTAATAAAATTTAGATTTTGGATATAAAAATATATATCTGAATGTCAAAACTATTGGTCACACTTTTTTTTTTTTTTAGAAATGAGGAAGTCATACTGCCATGAGGGTTTGTTAAGACTGAAATAATAAGACTCAGTAGCCTTCCGGAGACACCAGACCCTTTCAGAAAAGATATTTTAGACAGGGGGATTTCCTGGTACCTCCTCAGTTCAGGGCATCTTTGTGCTTTTCTAGAGGTGAACATCTAGCTTTCCTCCTTCCTTCAAAGTCCCCTTAAAATTGCCACCATCAACATTTCATAGTTCTTCCCCATCCTCTTACAACCTTTATTGCATGGGGACTGGTAATGTTCATATATATAGGATTAACTGCTCTGTCCTTAACAAGTATGGATTGGTATATGACTTTTTATTAAGGGGTATGTATGAAAATGTAATACATTACAATAGAAATGTCATCAGATATGTGTAAGAAATTCTCATTTCTTATAGAATAGTGAGCTCTTAATTCATTAACTGTATCAATTAACTGAGTTGTCCTAGGGATGAAGTAGTCACATTTCTTGCTGGTTGCTTAAGGGACAGATGTAACTAATGTTTGTTAGATGATAGCTGCGGTAAGTCCTGTGGGCAGCGAGACATTGGCTGAGTGTAGTCAGTCACTCAGTCATGTCCAGCTCTTTGTGACCCCACGGACTATAGCCCACCAGGCTTCTCTGTCCTTGGGATTCTCCAGGCAAGAATACTGGAATGGGTTGCCATTTTCTCCACCAGAGGATCTTCCCAACGCAGGGACTGAACCTACATCTCATGTCTCTTGCATTGGCAGGAGGGTTCTTTACCACTGGTGCCACCTGGAAAGATCCAACATTGGCTGAACTAGATCAATAAACTAGAATCTGTAACAGAACATGGTGAACTTTTCATCTTCCAAAGTGAAACTCTGTACCCACTGAACAGTAATTCCCCTTTCCCTCCTGTCTCCCTGTTCGCTGGTAACCATCATTCCATTTTCTGTTTCTTTAAGTATTTGGCTACTCTAGAAACCTCCCATGAGTGGAATTGTACAAGATTTGTTCTTTCATGACTGGCGTATTTCACTTAGCATAGCGCCTTCAAGATTCATCCCTGTGGTAGCATGTGTCTGAATCTCCTTTCTTTTAAGGCTGACTGCAAGTGTGATTTTGAATGATCATGATTAGAATGGTCTGTGGTTTTCCAGTAGACCATGGGATTCTGAAGTGATTATTAGAAGAGGCTCTAGGTTGCTCCTTGAGCACTGGGTTCAGCTGTCATTTCTGCTTAGGACCTGTTCTTGGCCAAATCGTGAAGCATGGCTTCTGGGCCTTCCCAGTGTCCCCTCACCTTCCTTACCCCTTTTCCCTTGAATGCACACTTTGCTGATGCCTGTTTCTGCCACAACTCACAAGGTGTCACCTGCTTACTGACAGCAGGCACTCTGCGGTGAATGCACACTCATGTGTGGTGTGTGTGTGCATGAGTGCTTTTACTGAAAGAACAAATCTTAAGACAGCATGTAATTAATGATATGAGCTAGATTAAACCTAAAACTTGAAGAAGCCCCAAGCAGAAAGGGAAGTCATGTATGACTCGGGTCTAACAAGACAGGCTGGGTGTTTTATTTAACTGAGCCAGAAATAACTCAGGAGGAAAAGACGAGGGCAAGATGAGTTGTATATATTTATTTTTTAGATTATTAGTTGGAGCTTGGGTTCCTTTGTCTTACAAGATATTTTAAGCGACAGTACAGTATCACATCATCTTGATGAACTTTAATTTGCTTTTTAGTATTTACAAGGTATTGAAATTTTATTATCCACATGCAACTTATAAGGTATTGAAATTTTATTATCTAAATGTGTCCATGACCAATTTCTGTATATTTGATATATTTTTACCTTTTTTCTCAAATCTCTTATGATTGGTTTTAGGTGGAAAGGAGAGATGCAAGAAGGTATATGAATTAATAAGTAAGCCAGTGATTGATAGGGTCAGCTGATTAGCTTTGAGGCTTTAGAGAGAAATGATGGTGCATCATGACTCGTGTCTTACTCATCCTCAAAGGCCCACCTGCCTTAGCCAGTCGCAGGTGTTTCTAGAAGAAACCTGGGGGTGATGCCTCTAGATTGGCAGGTGTGTGGCATGTGCCACACCCTGCTCTACCTCTGAGTGGGACCAGCCCACAGTACAGCTCCTCAGAACCTTTAGCAAACTCATTTGAGTCAGATGTCTTAGAATTCAGCCTTTTTCAGATTTTAGAAAAGTGATATAAATGATCTTCTCTGTGTGTGTGAAGAAGCACTTCACTTAGTTAATGGGGAGCACCTTATACTCAAGCAGGTAAGTATTTTTAGTAAAACATGATAACAAATATTTGTGAACAATCATTTGGCTTTCAGACATCTTTGGATTTCAAAATTGAGGATAAGGGATTCAGGGCCTGTATCTGCACTGAACTTGAGCAGGTAGATCTGATCCAGAAGAAAAGAGAATTTTATCCCCTTGGTGCTCAAGGAGTGGTCTGCTTATCTTTTCAAGCTCATAAGGAAGTTGGGAGCTCTTTGTGAATTTGTGGATGAGGAGTTTAAATATTACTCTTTTCTGTACTGAACATCTCTTTTTTTTCCAGCACCTCCTCCATCACCATCAGCATCTTGCTTTTTGACCGATAATGGAAACATTACTCTCACCTGTGAGATCATGGGACTTCACGACAATATCGATGAAGACCTCATACAGTATTCGTGGGAATGTCCTTCAGCAATACAGTGTCACCGTGGCTCAATTTCAGCTGAAGCGTATGTCTCACAGAAAAGTGATCTTTCACAGAGTGTTCACTGTGTCATTAGCAATCCATTATTCAGAACATCAGCTTCCATCGCTTTGTCAACCTGTGTACCATGGGGTGAGTAAGTGACTGCATGGGTTATGGTAGAGGTCCTATATACAAATGGGGTTCACAGACCACTGGTGATTCATGAATTTCACACCACAGATTAGTGGCTAACATTTACTTCACAAATTTGAAACATAAAATGAGTTATAATTTTCACAGATACTTAAAAAACTGTTTTGGTTTGTTTGGCTACAGAATCTTAATTGCAGAACACAGAATCTTTACTTGAGGCATATGGAATCTTTAATTGCAGTATGCGAACTCTTGCAGCATGTGGAATATAGTTCCCTGAACAGGGATTGAACCCAGACCCCCTGCATTGAGAGCACAGAGTCCTAGCCATTGAACTACCAGGGAAGTCCCACTTTTTTTTTAGATATAAATCTAGTATTTTTTAGTACTTTGTGTCAAGCACCATTCTAATACATATGATAATTCTGTTCCCACACAATCTAATAATTATCCTTATTTTATGGGGGAAACCAAGATGTCATTTGGAGTTTAAGGTGCTTGTCCAAAGCCACCAGCCAGTAAGTGGTAGAACCTGATTTTGAAATCAGGCCATCTGGCTTCAGAGCCTTTTATTTAATTATTCACACATATTCACTGCTTCCTAATATTCTTCATAACCATTATTTTCTTCAAGGTTGCACACTTATTCACTGCTTCCTAATATTCTTCATAACCATTATTTTCTTCAAGGTTGCACATGTGCCACAAGAAAGTGCATTCAATATGCTTGTCTAGACTAACACTTGGTTAGTAGCGTGACAATCCGTCTCAGCTATGGTCTTTTTATGTTGCCTAAGTATCATGTATATTTGTAATTTACAATTCTCCTTATCTGTTTTTTTATACTTTACCTCCAGTTTACAAACAGAAGGGTCAGTAATTTGAAAGTGGTTCATTAAAGCCTGAGAGATGAAATGTATAGTAAATACTGTATTTCAGGACAATACCACAATTGTAAAGTATGAACGGGATTCTAGGGCAGACAGAGAATGGGAGTCTCCTCAGGCTGGGGCAGGGTGATTCTGTGAATAATTTTTTTTCTAAACAAATGAAATAGAAAGAGGCAAAAAATAAATATAATGATGTTGGTTTGTAAATTGGCCCACTGGATATGAAGGGCAAGGAGAGACTGAAGAAGGAGGCAGCCACTCCAGATTAGTGGTGGCAGGTTTAATAAGCATGGAAGCTTACTTAGGAGGCTTGTCTTGGGTGACCTCAAGAGGAATAGACCTCTGTGTCTGCCTGCCAAATCTTAGAATTCATATAAAGATCACGATTCAGTTACATAGACCATCCTGATGGTCTCACAACTGTTACTTTCCAATATTGTAGTGGTTTTTGCCATACATTGACATGAATCAGCCATGGATTTACATGTATTCCCCATCCCAATTCCCCCTCCCACCCCCCTCCCACCTCCCTCCCACCCGATCCCTCTGGGTCTTCCCAGTGCACCAGGCCCGAGCACTTGTCTCATGCATCCAACCTGGGCTGGTGATCTGTTTCACCCTAGATAATATACATGTTTCAATGCTGTTCTCTCGAAACATCCCACCCTCGCCTTCTCCCACAGAGTCCAAAAGTCTGTTCTGTACATCTGTGTCTCTTTTTCTGTTTTGCATATAGGGTTATCGTTACCATCTTTCTAAATTCCATATATATGTGTTAGTATACTGTATTGGTCTGTATCTTTCTGGCTTATTTCACTCTGTTTAATGGGCTCCAGTTTCATCCATCTCAGAACTGATTCAAATGAATTCTTTTTAATGGCTGAGTAATATTCCATGGTGTATATGTACCACAGCTTCCTCATCCATTCGTCTGCTGATGGCCATCTAGGTTGCTTCCATGTCCTGGCTATTATAAACAGTGCTGCGATGAACATTGGGGTGCACGTGTCTCTTTCAGATCTGGTTTCCTCGGTGTGTATGCCCAGAAGTGGGATTGGTGGGTCATATGGCAGTTCTATTTCCAGTTTTTTAAGAAATCTCCACACTCTTCTCCATATCTCACAACTCTTGAAGTTCTCTCTCTAGGCTGCATCCTTAGGAACAGTTCGCATGGTGGGACTGGCTTGGAGCACGTACATTTCAAGCACAGGAGTGGTTGTGCTGGGCCTCTGATGGCCTGGATCCAGTTCTCCAGTCAACTTACAATCACATCCTTTTAACAATATCTTCCAACATGTGAATATGAACAAATTTGAATTTTATTTGGCTCCTGAGCCATTCTCCCTACGTTTCCCACATATTGAACTTTTAAAAAACTTTTCAAATAATGACATAAAGCCATTAAGGTTATGATATCATTTTCAGACAAAGCAGTGTGACTTCTCCGGTAAAAAAAAAAAAAAGACAAATGCTTCCAGAAAAAGTACGAAATGGCTTCCAATTCGTAACTGATAGATTGGGTCTCTAAAAACAGAGAAAAGACCAAGCCCACAGAGGTGTCTTTCGAAGCTTTTATACAAGTAACACAATTGCCAAGAATATTAAAAAAAAAACGTTTGCGGAGTTAATGACAGTTTTTATACTGGGAGCAAACATTCCTTCATTACCTCCACTTATTGGGTTTTGCGTAATACCCTGGGTGTACAGCATGGAAATGCAGCTTGTGTGCTTTATAGTGAGAAGAAACAAAACCAATTGCGCTTTTGGCTGTGACATGTGTGCAGTGCACACAACCGGCAAGGAGACAGAAGTTGACTGTCTACAGAATGAACAAGCAAGTTGAAATCTTGAAAAGCTTCAGGTGCTCAAAGAGCCAATGTACTTGAAGGAAATCAGTTGAGTTCAGTCACTCAGTCGCGTCCGACTCTTTGCGACCCCGTGAACCCCAGCACGCCAGGCCTCCCTGTCCATCACCAACTCCTGGAGCTTACTCAAACTCAGTTCCATTGAGTTGGTGATGCCATCCAACCATCTCATCCTCTGTTGTCCCCTTCTCCTCCTGCCCTCAATCTTTCCCAGCATCAGGGTCTTTTCAAATGAGTCAGCTCTTCGCATCAGGCGGCCAAAGGAAATAATTCTATTTCCTTTGAAATATTGAAGGAAATATTATTACTATTATTGAAGGAAATAATTTCTAAATAAAATCATTTATAGAATTATGTAGGATAGTTTAAGATTTTCAAACGTTTTGCCCTCTCACAGTTTTCATTTAACCTTTGCCCTTAGAATTGAATGCTCAAGTAAGATGCTTTTCCCTGTTGATACCTTGAGAAAAGATTATCACAATATCATCCCTTTCACTGATACGAAATTTGTTGTTGTTCAGTTGCTACATCGTGTCCAACTCTTTGTGACCCCATGGACTGTAGCACACCAGGTTCCTCTGTCCTTTACTGCCTCCCAGAGTTTGCTCAAAGTCATGCCCATTGAGTCGGTGATGCCATCTAACCATCTCATCCTCTTTTGCCCCCTTCTCTTTTTGCCTTCAATCTTTCCCAGCATCGGTCTTTTCCACTGAGTTGGCTCTTTGCATCAGGTGGCCAAAGTGTTGGAGTTTGTTTTAGCAACAGTCATTCCAGTGAAAATTCAGGGTTGGTTTCCTTTAAGGTTGACTGGTTTGATCTCCTTGCAGTCCAAGGGACTCTCAAGTGTTTTCCTCAGCACCACAATTCAAAAGTATCAATTCTTTGGCATTCAGCCTTTATATATGTATCTAATTCACTGTGCTATATCCCTGAAACTAACACAATATTTGTAAGTTAACTATACTTTAATTGAAAGCAAGGATAAATGATTAACTTTTCTCAACTAAAAAAAGTAATAATAATAATTGAAGGTAGGCAGCCTTGGGCACATTGCTGCTTTATGCAGTTGTCAGAAACCCAAGTATGGTCTAGCTCCTGCCACCTCCCCTGCTGTCTCAGGAGTGGGACTCAGGGAGGGAAAAATAGTGTGTCTTACCCCTTCCAGGGAGACTTTTGAGAAATACCACACAACCCTTCTTGCATCTCATTGCCCAAAACTTGTCACATGGTTAAACCTCGCTACAAGAAAGGCTGAAAAACTAATTTTTTAGGTGAGTGGCAGTATGCCCAGCTGCAAATCTGAATTCTTTTACTAAAGAGGAGAGAATAGGTATGTGGGACAACTTAACAGTTCCTAACCAGGGACCTCTCAAATCAAACCAATGCCTATTCATTCTAACCCACCTGTGCTCCAACTAATAGGAAAGGGTGTATTTCATATTCTCACTCATTCATTCATTTTCTATCTCCTCTTCCCTTTCCTCCCCTCCCCTCTCCTCCTCTCCCCTGTCTCTTATCAATGTTGTATTTGCTGTTAGTGACCCTAACCTCTCCCTTAGCAATGTGTGGTGATTATTTTGCCATATCCTCTGTGTTCTGCCCTTAGATTTTTGGTAGGTGGATAGAGTCCACCTGATGAACCATCATTATTTTCTGTTGTGGACACTTTGGTTTTATCTTTTTAATATTGTAAAACTGTAGTAAATATCTTTGTGCCTTTTTTGGAGGGAGAAGAAAGGTACATCACTGATTCTGTCTGTAGGTTAGCATCTTAGAGATGGAATTGCAGAATCAAAGGACATTAGCAGAGATTCCAATAGGTTAATGGTAGTAGCTAACAGGCTTCCCAGGTGATGTACTGTTAAAGAATCCACCTGCCAATGCAGGAGACTCAGGTTCAATCCCTGGGTTGGGAAGATCCCCTGGAGAAGGAAATGGCAACCCACTCCAGTACTCTTGCCTGGGAAATCCCATGGACGGAGGAGCCTGGTGGACTGCAGTCTATATGGTCACAAAGAGTTGGACGTGACTGAGCAACTGAGCACACAGTGACTAATCACTGTTCTTACGTGTATTGATTCAATTAATGCTCACAATTGCCCTAGGAGGCATGTTCATCAGGTCAAGAGAAACCTGAGTCTCTGAAACATTAGATCACTCACTAATCCAGCGTTGTGGCAGTGATTCAGTGAGACTGTAGGCACATCATTTAGCACAGTGTCAGCTGCTCTATGGTAAACATTTCTAAGGCTTGCTGTGCACGGCTGCCACATTGCCGTGCCAAGCACACGATGCCAAGTTGTGCTGCCAGTGGCAGGATGGGATGGCCAAAAAGTGAAATATTTGCTGCTTTTAATAAAAAGCACTGGACCTGATATGTATCAACCTTGTGAATATAAATTTATTTAGAAACACAGTCAATTCTCTTTATTCACAGTGAAAATGAAGTGAAGGTCGCTCAGTCATATCCGACACTTTTTGACCCCATGGACTGTCCATGGAATTCTCCAGGCCAGAATATTGGAGTGGGTAGCCTTTCCCTTTCCCAGGGGATCTTCCCAACCCAGGGATCGAACCCAGGTCTCCCGCATCACAGGCGGACTCTTTACCAGCTGAGCTGCAAGGGAAGCCCAAGAACACTGGAGTGGGTAGCCTATCCCTTCTCCAGGGGATCTTCCTGACCCAGGAATTGAACCAGGGTCTCCCACATTGCAGGCGGATTCTTGACCAACTGAGCTATCAGGGAAGCCACTTCACATAGTTATGTTTTATTAAGTCACTGTGAACACAGAATTAGTGAATATTGAATCATTACTCCCAGGGGAGATATAGGGTTAGGTTCCTGCAAGTCTCTGGTCACATGTTTGAAAAGGAATCAATATAGAACCTTGTTTTATGTGTGTTTCTGTTTAAAGGCACATTATTTAATATATGTGATTACTGCATGAATGGTGAAATTCACAACCAGCAGGACCATAACTGATGCCTAAACGAAGCTTATCTAACATGTGTATTCTCTCTGTGATGCACACGGCCTGCTTGTGCTTGGGAAATGCTGTGTGTCTTATAGAGAGAATACACGTGTTAAATTAGCTTCATTTAAGCATCAATTATGGTCCTGGCATTTCAGCACTGTTTTTGAGGGCCAGTTTAGACAGTGAAATAAGCAACAAAAAAGCACAAAATGTAGAACACTTGGCACTAAAGAGATCACAAATAGGATTGTGTAAATAGGATCGTGTCTACAGTACAAGGGCCAAAACTCGAGGGCAGAGTTTCGCCTTGAACCTCAGTTGGGAACAACAGTTTTCAACATTTTGTTGCCTGTGTTATCGTATGACTATGAAAGTTCTGCAGGTATTGGTTTGAGGAATACAAATAAATTTTAGCGAATAGGTAAATCGCAAATATGAAATCTGCATATAAGGAAGATCAGCTGTATCTGTTTTGGTCAGTTCAGCTAATTGTATTTCTTTCTTTTTCCCAGATAATTCAAGGCATAGGTATGTGCTTTTTGCCATACTCCCAGCAGTAATATGTGGCTTGCTGTTTTTAAAATGTACGTACACTTTTTTTTCCTTAAAAAAAAAAAGTTTTCAAATGGGAATTGGTTTTTCAAAGGCCAGAAAATGACTAATTTGAAGATGAAAACAAAGTTTGACATTTTAGTTGTTTCACAAAACCTTTTTTGTTGTACTTGTTGGCTGGGGTTGCTGAGTGTGTTGGGTTCCCTGAGATTCTGTGTTATCCTGAGGTGGTAGGAATCCTTGGGCCATAGAGAGCATTACAGGAATGGAAACACAGCCAATAATACTTGGGACCATTCCACAGCCTCCTGTCTGTGGTCTGCCTCAACGTACGTTACACTTCTGGTCTCCAAGCCAGACTTTGCAAAAAAACCCAAAACTCTTACTCTTGGCTGCTGTGGTCATAATTCCCATGACTTACAGCCCAGAAGCAAGACCGAGGTAAGGAGGAGGTTTTATTGAGTCAGGTGATGTGGAGAGGGTAAAGCTGGCATGGTATTATTACCTGTATTGCCTTCCTCAGTCTCCTGAGATCGCGGACCAGTCCAGAAGGCAACCCATATGCCCTGGAGACCTGGTGACCCTGTCCCAGCCTATTCTTTCCTGGTGACAAGAAACCCCTCCTTAAGTCCCAGAGGATGCTGACCAGTCTGTAAATTTCAGACTAAGGGTTCTTGAAGCCCTAACAGTTTCCTTCACCAAGAGGAAATTTACAATCTGTCGCTCCCATAGGGATTGTTGAAGAGTAAGCTTTCCGTAAGGTGAAGGCATCCTGGATCCATGTCATTTCATACTTGTGTCTTGAATCAAGTTCACAAACTAGATTTCAGTTTCCCTAGACCTGCACTGTTCAGTACAGTGGGTACTAGCCACATGTAGTAATCTAAATATAAAATGTAATCAATGAAGATTAAATAAAATTTAAAATTTAGTTCCTCAGTCGTACTAGCCACATTTCAAGTGCTCACAGATGGCTAGTGGCTACCATGTTAGACCAAATAGAGAACAATTCCATCACTTCAGAAAGTTCTATTATAGGCCAGTACTGACCTAGTCTATTTTGGGGTATTGGCCCTAGAGTGTGATTTCCCAAAGATACCATTTCTATATTATAGGTTTCAAATACCATGAAGATCTCTAAGTAATCGACTATCGGTCAACTGAATTTCCTCTAAACAAGGTATAAAAAAATCAGCTAAAGAAGGTTTTAAGGCATCATTACCAATAAGTAAAACATCAGGGAACTGAAGTGTTCTTTTAAAAAGTTATTTTTAATCCCCAAATAGCAGTAATATAGTTAATAATCTCTTTAACAGATTGGTACCCAGAAACCAAACTAATTTTCTACTCATATTTTTTTTGGGGGGGGGGGGTAAGATGTCTACATCACAACTCCTGAACCTAAAAAAAGAGACCTGTGTACCCATATAACTCTAAAACAACTGACTGACTTAACTTATTAAAATAAACAAAAACAAACCTTTATTCTATGGAAGGAAACTTACCCCAGTGATCAGTACTGATGGCACCATATATTCACCCCCCTCCCAAAAGTAACAAATAATTACTTCAGCAAGCATCTCAATCCTAAAGCCATTAATTGAAAAGACTAGGTATTTGGCATGGAGCCATCAGAATGGGAGAGAGTTGAATGTAAACAGCTCCATCAGCTAGTTGTAGTTGACACTTTTACAAGCTCATTCAACCTTGTGAACTCAGCTGCTGAATCATTAGCATCACTCCAGGCTAACTGGTGCCTTTGATGGGCAGGAAACTGAGGGATACATGTGAGACGGTATCTTAAGATCCAAACTGGTGCTGTCCAAAATGGTAGCCACGTGTGGCTGTTGAAACTGTTGAATATGAGAGTCCAAACTGAGATGAGCCATCAGTATAAAATAAACATTAGATTTGTAGGACTTCTGATTTAAAAAGGAATGTAAAGTATCTCATTAATAATGTTTATACTCATTATATGTTACAGTAATATTTTTTGATATGTTGGGCTAGTTTATAAAATTAATTTCATCCATTTCTTTTTACTGTATCTGTGGCTAGTAAGCATGTATAATTACTTATGTGGCTCACATTATATCCCCATTGGGCAGCGCTGATCCAGGATATTCTAGCCTTCCCTCCATCTTTAGCTTCATGCAAAGTTGCTATAGAAAAAAACATTCATCAACAGTTTTTGTTTTTCTATTGTCTGATGACCAATTTTTGAACAACTCTTTGGCTCAACTCAGTAGCCAATTTGATGTGAGCATTTAGGAGAGTAGGGGAGACCAGTTCGATAGGGCTGTGTTCTTGAGTTTTCCCAGTTCAGGCCTCTAGCCAGCAACCCTACATTTCAGCTTTTCTTTTCAGCTCTTTAATTGAGACAAAAATGTCTTCATTTGTAGGTTTTCTGGGACGTCGTAGCCAAAGAAACACAGAGGGCTAGGTGAGTAACCCATAGACTGCTCAGTGGGCACGTTATGTATCATGTATTAAAAGCAGAACAACCCCCATGTAGAGGGCCTGTTCCCTGGGGAGCCCGGTTCTACTTATCTGTCAGTTAGTTGCCTTGAACAATAATAAGTAACATCAGCAGATTACTCACCACAGTTCATTAAGCACCAACCGGTCACTTTCCATGTAACATCTCATTCAACCCTCTCATTGAGCCTTGCGTGGGGGTATCTTTACAGCTTGTTTAGAGATATCGGATGGAAGACAGAGAAGTCAAGTCACATGACTCATAGATGGTAGAGCTGGGATTCAAATGTAGGTCTTCAGACTCCATGGGTTATCCTGTTAACCACCAAAATATACTCCCTCCTTCTTCCATCCCAGGAAAATGGAGCCAAGGATAAAGTTTACTTCAGGAGCCAGGGTCAGAGCTGGGTCTGCATCAAGAACAAAAGATGGGATCCAAACACAATGAATGGTGGCCATGGGTGAAGGAAGTTGCCTTAAGGAGAGCCACAAGTCCCTGTCCTGGCAGAATCCCCATGGTCAGGAGGAAGAGTAAAGCTTAGGGCTGGAAAGGGCGGGGTTGGGGGTGGCGAGTCACCCCTTTTGGGGCAGCAGATGTTGATGGGATAGAGGTTGAGCCAGGCCAGGATATTGAGAGAGAGCTACCAAGAGGTTCAGTGATTTTTTTTCTGGGAAACCATTGAGGATTTTTGAGCAGAGCTAGGCTTTGGTATCTTCCCTGGGTCGGGAAGATCCTGAACAAGGCAATGGCAGTCCACTCCAGTACTCTTGCCTGGAAAATCCCATGGATGGAGGAGCCTGATAGGCTACAATCTATGGGGTCACAAAGAGCCGGACACGACTGAGCAACTTCACTTTCACATGCTTTGGGAAGATGTCTGTATTGGTAAAACATACAGTGAATAAATACACAAGAGGCAAAACATGGGGACACTGGTTAGTGGATAAATGAAATAATCTAGCCAAGCAGAAGAGAAGCTGTATCGGTGTGATTGTGGCACAAATGAAAGAGGGATAGATTTCAGAGAAAGTGTGGATATTGTATAAACAGAGTCTCAGCAGAGTGCAGTCTGGCACCTGGCTCCCTGGGGTTCAGTGGCAACTCCATTTCTCATAGGACTCAGACAAGTCAATGAACCCCACTGCACCTCAAGTTTCTTCTGTGGAAAATGGGCATAACAATAGTATAGAAATAATGATAGTTTAGGTCATAGTAGCATAGAAATAACAATATGTACAAGCAAGGTGAAAGTGAAAGTGAAGTTGCTGAGTTGTGTCCGACTCTTTGTGACCCCAGGGACTGTAGCCTAGCAGGCTCCTCTGTCCATGGGATTTTCCAGGCAAGAGCACTGGAGTGGGCTGCCACTTCTTTCTCCAGGGGATCTTCCCAACCCAGGGATCGAATCCGGGTCTCCCACATTGGAGGAGGACTGGCTCATAATGGTGCCCAATAAATGTTAGCTAATTTGGTTACGACTCTTCTTCAAGAAATTAGCCGAAAGCAACAGGAATTTCAACCCTTGGCAGCACTGACAGATAGAGCAGGAGTCAGATGGAGCCCTTGTTTGGGACGGTGGATCTGTGCTCAGACTGCAGCCCGAGTTCGAGGTGCAGGCACATCACGTGGGTAGAGATATCCAGCACCTAACTGGAGAAATAGCTGTAGGGGCTGGGGCTAAGGTTACAAGTTGGGGAGCATCTTTGTCAGGACAGTAACGGATTCCCAGAGCATCTGAGGTCACCAAGAAGTAGAAGCTGGAGGCCCTCAAGTGGAGGGCGCGGTGGAGGAGTCCAGTAGGAGAGCCAGGTGGCGCCCTGTTACGGATCCAAGAGAAGAGGCCATACGTTAGAGCTTCAGGGAGGCAAAGGAGGGGGCGGTGGTCAAGACCGTTGGCTTGGCTGAGCAAGTTGGCTAGCTTTCATGAAAGCCGCTGGGTGAGTGCTTGGAATAGGGTGATGGAGCCATCACTGCGTGGCAGCGAGGGCCTGAGAGCAGTGGTACCGTGGGGAGATTTCTTTCTCTCCAGCTGCTGGCCAGGACAGTGACCAAGCCAGCTGGCCAGTCAGCTACTGCGGAAGGCCTGGGGCAAGGGATTCTAGAAGACAGCTCAGCCAGCTGCAGGGTGTAGGCTGGGCGGGGGTACTGAGGCCACCAGGGGTTGGTGGGCCAGGAGGCCCCATGGAGAGAGGGTAGAAAGGGATCGACCAAAAAATAAAAATAAAAAAGAAGGGGATCGACTGGCCATGGATGAGGTGAGAGGCAGGTGTGCTAGCAGTGTGGGGGCAGCAGCAGAAGACCTGGAGGTTATGGTCAGAGGTGGGATGTTCAGACTTGAAGCAATGCTCATGAGGGCAGGTGAGGGTGAGAGCCCAGGCAGGACCTCTGCTAAGATCCTGATGCTAACAGTTGAGGTGTGGCCTTCATGAACCATGACAGGGGATGTTGGTCATGGGAGGGCTGTTGTCCAGGGCCACTGAGAAAGGTGATGGGGTAGTCCAGGCCTCAATCCTTTATCTGTTCCTTTATTCTTTCAATAAGCACTCTTACGGAGATGACTAGTTGGCAGGTGCTGTGTGAGCCGATGGCTTGAGATCAGTGTACCCAGTGAGGCTGGACATTGTATAAGATTCAGAGAAAGCGTATGTTAGGGCTCCTACCTCTGAGAAACTTATGGTCACACTGGGGAGAATGGATGGAGATGTAAGAAACAAAGACTTAGGCAAGAAGCCCATGGTGATGGGCCGGAATGGATGATCAGGGCTGGGCAACCAGCGAAGGGGAGGGGAAGAAGAATAATCATGAAGACTTTGAAAGGAGTACAACGTGAGCTAGATCTTCAAAGCAAGAGCAGAGAGGGAAAGGCATTCCAGCTGGGAGAAGCAGCAGAGGTGAAGACATAGCAGGGAACCAAATATATTATTGTTATTGATAAAGAGGTCAGCCTGCTTAGCATCAAATTGAAGAGGTGGCAAAAGAGACCATATTTGCAAGAAAATCTTTGGAAGTCAAGAGCATTAAAATGAGTGATATGGGAGTAGGGAGGCATTTGAAGGTTCTGTGGTGGCAGGAGAATTTTGCATGAAGAATGTTGCCTTGGGATGATGAGCTAGGAAGAGAAAACTGACATCTCAGGGTAACATCCTGAGGAATAAATAGGTAGCTTAGGGCTGTATGTGGGAGAGAAACTTACTTTTCTTGGTATATTTTTGTTGGCTGTTCAGATTTTGTATTTTGTACGTTTCTTACCTATTTAAGAATGCCTTTTCGATTAAAGAGCCCACTGTGGCAGCAGAGGGGGGTTCCCTAACTCAGTTATTAAAGGGTTAACAGATGTGGTGGAGGGGCAGGGCTGGGGGAGGTATGGGGGAGGTGGGGACAAGCATAACCAGGAAGAAATGCAAAATTGTCACCTCTCTGTGAGTAGCCATGTACAAATGTGAGAGTTGGACCATAAAGAAGGCTGAACACTGATGCTTTCAAATTATGGTGCTAGAGAAGACTCTAGAGAATCCCTTAGACAGCAAGAAGATCAAACCAGTCAATCCTAAAGGAAATCAACCCTGAATATTCATTGGAAGGATTGATGCTGAAGCTCTAATATTTTGACCACTTGATTCGAAGAGCTGACTCATTGGAAAAGACCCTGATGCTGGGAAATATTGAGGGCAGGAGAAGAAGAGGGTGACAGAGAATGAGATGGTTGGATGGCATCACCAAATCAATGGATGTGAGTTTGAGCAAGCTCCGGGAGATAGTGAAAGACAGGGAAGTCTGGCGTGTTGCAGTCCGTGGGGTCACAAAAGAATCAGACATGACTCAGAAACTAAACAACAACAAGGTTTTTAGTAAGGAAAATGCCTATTTCCTTTACCTAACCCCTCTGATCCCAGCACTAATTTTTTCTTATTGTCAAATTTCTTTATTTTAACTTTCCCCAACTAGGAGATATAAAATAAGAATTTGTTTTTTCCTAATAACTAATGATCCTGAACATCTTTTCATGTCCAGCACTAATTTTTTATGAACTCCTGTTACCAAAGTCATGCAAATCTTTTGGAATTCTGGTCTGATCTGGTCCATGGAAATACAGACTGTGGGGAAGCCAAAAAAAAGCCGTGAAATGATCTTTTCTCAGTTTGAAGGAGCTTTTTCAGGCAGGGCTGTAGCTGAGTTGATTTCCTCTGAGTTACTCAAGGGTGTTCTGTCATCACCACAAAGATGAATAATCAGGAAGAGAAGCTGAAAGAAGAAAACCACGGCCAGGATATTCTTGTGGCAAAGGAGATGACTCTTAGAAGGGGTGACAGTTTACCTATGGGTCTTACAAGCTCCGGTCTGTTCTTTGGAGATAGCAGGACTCAATTCAGCATGAAGAAAGTCAGCTCTAATTCTTCATAAAACAAATAGTTCATGTCATAGGCTCAGTAGTTACACTAAAGTCATTATTCTACTCACGTTATCAGCAAGTCTACTGTCTCAAGGCATTCAGCACATGGCAAGATGTCAAATAAGTTCTCTCCCATCCTACACTTGGCAAACATCATAATGAAAATAATAACCAAGTAATATTTAGTACAGGAATTACACATCTGATAAAAAAAAAACTCCATCTTAAAGTAGCAAAGAAAAGTTACTTTTAAAATGACAGCATAATTAGAAAATATTTGAAGAAACAAAGCAAAAGTTAAAATCCTTGTATGTGTCACATAGAAGAGTAAATGTCAGATGCAAAACAAAACGCAAAAAGCACGTGTACAAAGAGCAAGACTGAGTTGGTCTGAGAAGCTGGGACTCTGAATTTGTGCTGTGCGCCAGGATAGCACTCCTGGTAGATCTCCAGCTGCCATCCCATAAGGACCCAAGACCAAGCTCCCTCCATCTCTGCTCCCTAGAACCCTTGCTTCTGATGGGTTTGTTACAAAAGGGCTACCTGCATTAGAATAAGAGGGTCATTTAGACTCATACACTGCAGCACAGATTGTGTTTTATTCTAATATGAGATATTTCTTTTATAGTGCCTGTTGTGTGGTAACAGAAGATGAAATGGAACACGTGGTAATTAAGTTATTTCAATTGCTTCGGGAAGGCATCTGATGTACCATTCATGTATTACGTTCTTGAGGAAACTTTGAAATTCTGCCTGAAATTGACCATTTATAAGAAGCAATATTTCCTAGAAGAGACAAGGACTAACACACAACAGGCATTAGTGTCTACACTGAACAAAACTAGATACTATCTTGTTCCTTAATTGTTTATTATAAATTGTATTTTTCTAGAGATGTGAATCTGTAAATAATGTAAGTATGTATATATATGATGAAGCAGCTCCTAGAATTTCCTTTATCTTCCAGACTTTGGTCCCCACATGGTCTCCCTGGCCTTTTCTGACCCCATCTATCACCAGTAAAATCCCTTGTATCCTCTTTAATGGATGTTCACGTCCCCTTTCTGTTCTTGTGAACCCTGGCAGCCATCTCAAGGACAAGCTGTCCTCTCTTGTGCGCCTTGTACAGTGGGCTCAGGGGGAGGCGGGGCATCCTCCTGGCTCAGCTCTGCTTCCAGACCGTTGCTCCTTCTCCAGCTCTGATGCTCACGCCAGCAGACCCATAGCACCCAATAGCCCTTGTCCGAGTTATCTTTGTTATTCCTCATGCCATGAAGATTTTTAACACCAGGTGGAAACCACTCTCAACACTGCCCCTTTCAGAACTGGAGTGTTTTCAAAACCTGCAACTTCCAATACCCTGGCATGGTCTCCCCCGGGGATCTCAGCTTCCTCTCCCAGCACTGCCTGGGCCCCGCTCCTGGCCTTTTCATTAGCAATATCGCAGCTCCTCACTATCTTAGCACTTAGCAGCCCCTCACTGGCGATAGCATGCCCCCTTTGCTTGCTGTCTTCCACACCACGCCCCCAAGGGGCCCCAATCCAAAACTCCAGTAGCCCAGCCAGGACCTGCAAGCTGGCCACCCTGCCTCTTCCCTGCCCGTCATCCCCTCTGAGTCCTCCTTCTCCTCACTCTTCGGGGTCTCCAGTGGTCATCAGTGCAACTCCACCCTCACTCTTTACTCCTATACTAGGCCAAACCCCAGCTGTGGTTATAGTCACTTGTACTATTTCCCTTCCCTCCATTCAAACTGCTGAACATCCTGGAGAAAAACATACCACCTGGCTGGTGAGTTTCACTTCCAATGACTGTACACCTCAAAAGGATTCCCAGTGTTTCTCAGATGTCCTCGTTGGATCATGCTGGTCCATTCACTGCTTCCTCGTTGCTCTTCTTACACCCAGAACGCTGTGTCCTCATTCTCAACTTCTCACCGTGCTTTCTGTATCACTGAAGAAAAGCACTGAGGAGACCTCTCTTCCCAGTCCCCACCCTTCCACATCTCACACCCAGCTGCGTCAGCACCCATGTGCCTTGCTTCCCCTCCTGTCACTGTGGGTGAACTCTTCTCACTCCTCCTAAAGCCAGTCTCTCCACTTGTCTTAGTCTGCTTGGGCTGCCATAACAAAATACCATAGACTGGGTGACTTTAAAAACAGAAGTGCATTTGTCCCAGTTCTAGAGGCTAAGCCCCAGATCAGATGCTGGCCAGTGTGGTTCCTGGTGAGGTCTCTTCCTGTCTGGCTCTGTCCCCACTTAGCACAGAGAAGAGCTCCAGGATCTGTTCCTCTAAGGGCACCAGCTCTGTTGGACTGGAGGCCTCCCCTTATGACCTCATTTAACCTGTATCCCCTCCTCCCAGGCCTTACCGCCAAATACAGTCACCGCAGGAGTTAGGGTTTCAACGTGACTTTCAGGGGACGGATCATTCACGCTGCTTCTGCACGGGGTCCCATCCTCCCTCATCTGCGTAAGGACATCACTCTTGTCTTTCTCCACTCCTCTCTCCCATCATCAGCTCGTACCTTTCTATGGCATCATACATACTGTCATTTCTCATATCTTTAAGAAAAAACAGAATACTCTTGACTGTACTTTCCCATCCAGCTCTCGTCTCACTTTTCTGCTCTCTTTTACGAAAAGTTCCTCAAAAGAATGATCTGTACTTTCTTTTTCTGACTCTTCTCTCCCCATTCTTCCTTGAACACTGGTCAGTCAGGCTTTCACCCCCACTTCTTGCCAAGCTTACCAAGATCTTGCTGAGATCAAGCTTGCCAGGCCCTCTTGTAAGATTGCATGGTCAGTTCACTGACCTTCTTATTCTGCCTGTAAGCACCATCTGAAGTGGTGGAGGGCCCCTTACATATTTTAGTGCTTTCTAGGTACTAGGTTGGTCTTCCCTGATGACTCAGTGGTAAAGAATCCACCTGAAATACAGGAAATGCGGAGACACAGGTTCAATCTCTGGGTCGGGAAGATCCCCTGGAGGAGGGCCTGGCAACCCACTTCAGTGTTCTTGCCTGGAGAATCCCATGGACGGAGGGGCCTGGTGAGCTGCAGCCCCTGAGGTTGCAGAGAGTCAGACGTGACGGTGTAACTTTGTACAGACACATACACACAGATACACACACACAGGTACTAGGTTCAGCGGGGTATTCAATGAAGGAAGCTCATAGTGTGACAGGGCAGGTCACTGTGATCACTTGTGGGATATATACCCCGTCCTAGAATGGAAATGTATGCAAAGGAAGAAGGCAGTAACCATAAGACCCAGCAATCCCACCCATTGGTATACACCCAAGAAAAAAAACACATACGTCCAGACAAAAACTTGCACATGGGTGTTCGTAGGTCATTATTCACAGCAGCCAAACAATGCAAATTCTCCAAATACATATACATGGGTGAACAGATCAATCAAATGTGGTCTATCCATACAACGGAATTATACTCAATATAAAAATTAATAAAGGTCTTTAGTAATGCAAATGTTTGATGATATATGCTAAAGAAAAGGTCATTCTTACTCTAAGTGGTGGGCAGGGTGGGGAGGGAATACTGACTGTGAAGGGGTATGAGGACTTTAGGGGAGTTGACATTGTTATTTCTTGACCCACATAATATTTACAACAGAGTATACCTGTGGTGTGTTTGTATAACATTAAACAATGTTTTTCAAAACTCAAAATACTGAAGTTCTGATTCATGCTACAAAGTGGATGAACCTTAAAAATACATTAAGTGCAAGAAGCCAGTGTGCATCGCCATGTGTGAAATAGCTGGTGGGGACCCGCGGTACGGTGGAGAGCCCAGCTCAGTGCTCTGTGATGACCTAGAGGGGTGGGACTGGGTGGTGGGAGGGAGACCCCAGAGGGAGGGGATATATGTATACATATAGCTGACTCACTTCTTTGTACAGGAGAAGCTAACAACATTATAAAGCAAATATACTGGACAGGGAAATGGCAACCCACTCCAGTATTCTGGCCTGGAAAATTCCATGGACAGAGGAGCCTGGCAGGCTACAATCCATGGGGTCGCAAAGAGTCAGACACAACTGAGCATGCACGTACCCCAGTTTTTAAAAAGAGATCACATGTTATACAATTATACAAAATTTCCAAATAGGGTTGGGAAGAGGATGTTGGGTATGGGGAGGGAGTGATTGCTCATGAATACAAGGTTTCTTTGGGGGGATGATGAAAATCTTCTAGAACTGATTGCCGAACTCTGAAGAGACTAACATTATTGAACTGCACACCTTAAGTAGGTGGATTGTATAGTTTGTGGATTATGTCCTAATAAAACTGTCATTACAGAAAAAACTACGGGACTGCAACTTCCCTGATGGGAAGACTCTGAGCTTTAATCAAGACACGAAGCAGTTAAGACTCGGCTTCCACTTCACAGGGCACGGGTTTGAGCCCTGGTTGGGGAAATAAGATTCCTCAAGCCTAGTGGCTGGCCAAAAAAAAAAAAAGAATAGGAAGGGAACTAGCCTCCTATCCTGAAGCAGGACTTCCCCATCAGCTTTTCAGCCTGGGCTCAGCTCTTTGGAGGCTGAAAGTCTATGTATGGAACTTCTTCCTCTCAGGACTCTGGCTATGTTTCTCTACCCGGAACCCAAAGTTACCAGGTCAAAAGACAACTTCCTGTTTGGAAGTTCGAGCAAAGAACTAGCTTCAGACACTAGCTAAAGTGAATCTATGAGAGCCCCTTAAAGCAGAGTTTAATTTGGAATCTTGAGACAGGTTGTCCCATTGTGTCTCTCCCTTCTCCCTCTTCAGCCAGGCTCTGCCCCATGTACACGTCCCCCAGTCATCTGCCTTCTTCCGCACTCCCATTTCCACACTGCCTCACGCTTCCCACCCCTGTCCTGGGGGTGTCCTCTTGCAAAGCCACTGGAACCTCCTTTCCACCATCAGCTGTCTACCCTACAGCCTCAGCCTTCAGCCTTAGGTTTTAGTCACACCCATCTCTGCATCTTGGCCCCTCTTCCCAGAAACTCTGTCTCCACTGGTAGTCCTCTCCAAGGGACAAGCAGGTCCTAGAACTTTCCTTGTTTCAGAAATGAGACAACTGATGTGCACTTGTCTGAGGTCAGTCAGACCAGGATTCAAAGCCAGGCAGTGTGGCCCCTGAGGTCTCTTGACCACCAACCACACTGTGAAAAGACGGGTGCCTGTGGTCTATTTTCCACATGTAGTTGGGAGTCTTTGGAAATGCTTTTCCAAGTTTTATGTTCATTCGAAGGAAAATTTTATCCATAATTTATGTATTCTCTAGAGAGAGGGCTTGCTTTTAACCACTTGTGTTGACTGCCTATCAAAGGAACCAAATATTATATTGAGTTCTACTTTCTAGATTCAAAGCTGTAGGGGTCCTCAGAGGTCTCATTGGTGGTTTAGTCACTAAGTCGTGTCCAACTCTTGCGGCCCCATGGCAGGATCCTCTGTCCATGGGATTCTCCAGGCAAGAATACTGGAGTGGGTTGCCATTTCCTTCTCCAGGGGATCTTCCCAACCCAGGAATTGAACCCAGGCCTCATTAGACAGATGAAAAGCCTGGGGCTCAGAGAGGGAAGGGAACTGGACCAGCCACTCAACAGCTAGTCCAGTGAAAGGGCCAGAAGCAGGAGCCTGAAAATCTCAGCCTCGGGTCCAATGCTTCTCTGTGACACCAGGGTTGTCTCCTAACATCCACCCTCAGTTTTAACTCCTCACCAAGTGTCAAGTTTGTACACCACCCCCAGGAAGCATGGCACTGGCCACTGGGGCCGTGTAGTCAGAGGCCTGGCTCAGCTCAGCACCCTGTGAGGGGTTGTGGCACATGTCATCTTGGGAGGTACCCATTCCTCTGGGTCAGAATGGAAGGAGTGGATGATGGCGGAAGTGAAAGCAAAGTGAGCAAGCGTGTGGGTTGCCCGCGCTGGCTGTGTTAATGTCTGACGCCTGCGTAATAAGAAAGCCCTTCCTCTTTTGCCAGGCTCCTCCTCTTCTTGGTCTGTTTTTTTCTCTCAAGATTTCTTTTTTAAGATTCCTTCCTGGGGACTTCACTGGTGGTCCAGTGGCTGAGACCCCCCACTCCCAGTGAAGGGGTCCTAGATCTGATGCCTGCTCTAGGAACCAGATACCACATGCCACAGCTGAGAGTTTGCATGCTGCAACAAAGACCCGATATAGCCACATAAATAAATAAATATTAGGGGGAAAAAAATCACTTCCTGAAAACGGAAAACGAATGATCAAAGTAGTAGAATCATTGAAAAGTGTCCCAATCAAGAC